CCACAGTCTCCATTGTTGCTGCATATGTCAGTCCTATTGTCTTTACGGCAGGTCTGGTCCGTGTCCTCTGTAGCCACATCGTTGCTGCTGCATTCACACTGCCTGCCCACCCGTCCTTCATTACACCTGAGATGAAGGGAAAAGTTGTGGCTTAAAGCATTTTGTAACACTAAAACCAAAATCTAAAGAAGACGGAATATGAGACTTGAAGGTCTTGGACACTTCTCTGTGTAAGGTGCATGGTACAATAAGTACTGTGGAAATATTTGCAGACTTACTTGCAGGCTCCACACTCATAGGTCCCGTTACCAAAGTGGCAGAGTTGACTGTTCTTGATACCCTCCTTGTGGCATTCACAATCACAGATGAAATTAAGGGTAATGGCCACCTCCTCTGTGAACCCCAGAGGCTTAATTTTTATGGTCTCAGGCTTTCCTTGTCTGGGACAGCCCTTAGACGTCACACTGATGGTAAACATGACCTGCATACATGGCAATAAGCAAAAAAGAAAATGACCCACAGAGCATTTACAAGAAATAATAAACATAAATGATAAAAGTACAACACAGCAGCACAAATAACAAAGAATCACCAAGTTAGCAAACTATTTAAGCAATATCTGTTACACAGAAATATTTCTCAACAGCTTACTAATAATAGCTAAAATTAGCCATAATAAACCGCTGGCCATACCAGACTAAGTTAAGACTGTAGCAACACAAACCATGAGTGTACTGAATTATGCAAGAGTTTATTTTGTGTGTGCCTGACAAGTGACAGGCTAATGATTAGCTGCTGGTCACATACAACAAACAAGAGCCATCTTCCTCACCTCATCTCCAATAGAGATATTAGAGCACTTGCGTCCATTTTCACCCTCACTAACCACTCCATTCTTACAGCGGGATGTGTAAGCTATGGTCACTCCCTCTGGAAGCTTGCTGTTCTCCAGAATAACTTCAGACGAGAGAGACTGCCAAAACCAAGAGATAACAAGATGAATGTAGTTATTTCATGCACTGGAATGTCATCTGGTAGCTTTGTTTTTGAGAAAGATACACAAAGGCTTAGCTGAGAGCATGTGTTTGGAAAAGGTTTACACTGTTTCAACTCATTCAGAAAGCTGAGTGCTTTAATATGGTTAATGTGAGCAAATAAACTTAAAGTTTTTTAAAAGAGTGCTTAAAGTCAACAATCTCAACAGTATACTTACATTGTAAGCATCTATAATAAGGTTGATTACATTGCTTGAGTTGGCAGACAGAGTCCCCACTGCAGACTTTGGTATCAGATTTTTCAGTTCCTGGGGAGAGAAGAAAGGTTTAACACAACGCTTTATCAAGGTTTTGTTAGTCTTGTGTTTATATATGTTTTTTCTTTGCATGGTAGAGTTGTAACTTGCATGTGTGGATGAAGTGACAATTAATCTACTGTATGTAGATGTGAGGTGTGCCACCAGTTTTTTTTTTTTTTTTTTTAACATTACATGGCTTTTCCAGTCATTTGCTGCCCCCGTCCCAACTTTTCTGAATTGTGTTGCTGACCTTAAATTCAAAATAAACTTATATAAAACAAAATATAATGTAAAATACAGTGCCTTGCGAAAGTATTCGTCCCCCTTGAACTTTGCGACCTTTTGCCACATTTCAGGCTTCAAACATAAAGATATAAAACTGTAATTTTTTGTGAAGAATCAACAACAAGTGGGACACAATCATGAAGTGGAACGAAATTTATTGGATATTTCAAACGTTTTTAACAAATAAAAAAACTGAAAAATTGGGCGTGCAAAATTATTCAGCCCCCTTAAGTTAATACTTTGTAGCGCCACCTTTTGCTGCGATTACAGCTGTAAGTCGCTTGGGG